CCCCTCCCCTTTTCTTAAGATTTTATTTTTAGTATAATTGCCCTGAGACGATTGTGCTTAGCTGGACACTTTCGGATTTGACTTTCCTTCTCTGGTTAAATTCCAGATTTTGTGGTGTTAATGCATATGTGACTTGCAGCTGTGAAACAAATATTTATTTTTTTTAGATTTTTAAATGCAGTGAAAAAATTCAAGCTATAATAAAAGACTTGAATGAAAACCTTTGTTGGTTGATGTGTACGGATGCTCGCATCACGCATGTTTCTTCAGCGGAGGGCAGCTTCTGCATGCATCATATCGGGGTACGGCCGGGATACAAAGGTCTCACTTGAAAAGCAGGGAAATTCATTCATTGTAATACGTTGTATAGCATGCAGGTTTTGTGCTGGCAGTAGATGTGGATATAATATAAAGCAGTCAGTACAGTTAAAATAATTCTCTTTTTTCCTTAACACTGTTTTTACAGCTTTCTCATGCAGTGTAACCTCTAGTAATTTCTTTGTATGCAGCCTGTATTCCCTTTTCCAACATTTGTTACCTGGCTGGGAAATTCCCCCTCTTGTGAAAAAACAAGAAACAAACAAAAACTAAAGCAACTTAATCTTAGTATTCATGGAAGAAAGAAAAGGAGAAAAGAAGAAGGAAAAAAAAAAAAAAAAGTATTATGCCTTCATTTTACCAGGTAATATTAAAACACTTTTTAAAAATTATGAAACACTAAGATTGCAAAGACAAATATTCACAAATTAGGAAGTGGCTAATGTAAAGCTGCCTTCTACCTTTTTCCTTTGTGTATTATTACATGATCAAGTTCTGTTTTTTGTTGTGTGTGTTTTTTTTTTTTATGGGAGTCTAGCTTTATTCAGTGTACACAGTTGATGGGTTCACTGAATAATAGGGTTTTTTTTTTATGTTCAGTGGTGCAGGTCCAAGTCTAATTTAGAGTGCATCATCTAAACCCAGCACTATATGTGTTTAATTTGCCTGTGGGTCTTTCTCTGATTTTTGCTGTATTTGATTTTTCATAAGTATCAATCTGAAAGATGAGTAATGGACTTACTCTGTAGACAAAGGGGTCTGAGACAGAATCCTAGCCATAGTTACTGAACACTTGACAGTTTTTGGTACCCAGTTTAGGAACTTTGGATGTCCTTTTTCTTTGAAGTGCAGTTATTATTGACTAAGACTGCTGTAGCAGTTATTTCATGTTGCTGCAGAGGTTTCTCCAGCATCAGCAAGACACATTTCTCACTCTCTTGGAACATCAGTGGACATTAGTAAGTGTTGGGAGGGTGGGGAGTGTTGAAGGGTCAGTTAACTGTCAGGTTAAGAACCAACTGGCGGAGCAGGGCTAGAGTCACTTTCCTCAGGGCAGTATTCACCTGAGACTTCTTTAGGCAATTTTTGCCTTGCTTTTACCCACCTCTGCAAGAAAGAGTTGTGTCCTACAGAGCATGATTGTATTTGCTAAATGCTCCTGGTTATCTTACAGGTGTTAGCTCATTCTGTGCAGTGAGACAGGTGCCTGGTTACAAAACAGACATTATCTACGTAACAAGGTAAAAGACTTTTATGTAGTACCAGAACAGTTAATAGTTGTTATATTACTTCTGCCAAGCACTTTAATAATTGCTGCAATAGTTATGTTGCCACTAGTTCTATCAACAGTCCTAACAGCCCTGTGAAGGATCTCTACAGAAGTTGTACATTTAACGTTTCCTCTGGCTGGAAAAGGGCAGGCAGCAGGAACTGCTTTCTCTGTCTTTGATCAGGTATCATTTTTCATACAATATTTGATGCTGAGAAGAGAAAAAACCCTCCCATTCTATGCTTAGCTAGAATAGCCGTGGTGTTAATGAAGAAAGCCTAGAGCCTTCCTCCTTGTAAAATCTTCAATTAATGAGAAAAGCTTGCATACCACTTTTAAAAAAGGATAATGCGAGTAACTGGGGCATAGTAGTAGTTTGGGCTGCATTTTACAATAATTAAAAATCTTAAAGTATTTTTATTTGATAACTAGATCAGCGTTTTGAGAAAGATTCAGAATTGTCACTGGAGAATGCTAGTTGCATGTCAGGCTTGTCCATCTCCATCATGGTTACTAAGGGAGGACTTGTCATAGCAGTGCGGGTGTGTGCTGGATTTATTGCACCTGTCACGTTAGTACAGGACTGAAGGTGAATTTGCGTGACAGAACCACACAGGCTGTTTCAACTGCACGTACAGCAGAAGTTTGTCCCTTATTTTCCAGGGAAAATCTTTTAAGAACACTGTTGCCCTGTACCAGTGTAGAACTATAGGAACAGTGAGCCCTGCTTAAGCATAATTTATCTCCTTTGGCACTTTGAGAGTTACTACTACTAAGGTTATTATTACTGTAGAGCACCAAGCCATGATACTCCCTTCAGGAAGGTTTATACACTACTTGAGAAAGTATTTTAATTCATTGCACTGCCCTCTGCTGCAGTAAACTTGATTTATCAGGAATAAATGCAGTTTAATGTAATCAAATATAAACTGCTATAAAAGAGAGCCCTTTAAATAAAGGCACACGCAGTTCTGCAGTTACAGTGAGTACAGAATAAAAGCTTTCTTTTACTAATAGAGTTTTCAGCATGATAGACTGGTATATAGTGAGCGCCCTAAGAAGGGCTGTGGTGTCTTTCTCCATTGTGCAAGTAGAACTATGTACCTGTGTGTACTGTGTATAACTCTTAGTTGTGAGGGCAGGGGAGAAGAAAGAGGAAGAACAAAATACTTGTTTCTCCTGATAAGTGAGTTCCCATTGCCTACCAAGCAGTTATTTCTTCGTTGGTAGGTCACTGCAGGGTTTGGGTGAACGAGTCAGTTGTCGAGCTACTATTTTTGTCTTTCAGTGTGTTGTTCAGGTTTGTTGGTCAAGTTATGAGCAACGACTTTTTAAACCTTACCTAGACCTCAGAAGGCATAGAGCATCCTCTATCACCTGCCACCGCTTAGATATAATACAAGAAATCTCCTTGACTGTTTGCCTGGAATATGTGTACACTTAATAAAATAACACCACCCATCATCACTTCTAGACACTTGAGTTTAACTGAGTCCTCAATTCTTTTTCTGGAGGAGCCTATACACTTTATTTAACTCCGTGCTTCCTTTCTGCAAGTGGTGTATGCTGAAGCTTTCTAACTGCAAACCTCTGCCTCCTCATTTCTGCATTGATGCAGATCTGTTGAATAAGGACTGTCATAGTTTGAGCTCAGAGGGCAACTGAGCACCACGCAGCTGCTCGCTCCCCTCTTCCCCCCACAGTGCTGAGAAGAAGGAAAAAAGCAAAAGGCTTGGTGGTTTGAGGAAGATGTCTTTTATCTTCTGATTACAAGAAAACTAAGGGGCAAAAAAAACCCACCTAAAACCAGCTGTGGCAATACCACTGGCATACTAGAACTGTGCAAAAGTGTCGTAAGTACAGACCTACTGGTCTCTTATCACCAGTAGACTGAACAGTCTTGAGTTCCTGCATCTCCCTTGAGTTTAAATGTACTTTATTGATCTTTTATAAAACAAAAAATTAACATGCTGCTGCTGCCACATGCCTGATGATGTGAGGAATTTCAGTGTGGAAACAAAAGATTAATGTTACATGAAGACTTCAGTTTTAGATAGCAAAAGTTAAGCTTTTTGAGCATATACACCAGCTTTTCCCTTAGGAGCAGAACTGGCAGACTAGCTAAAAAACAACGTCCTCTAGAAATTGTATTTGCTGTGTCTTTGAAAAATTTTAAACTAATTTAATTGTTTGTAGCTTTGCATCAGCACTACCATGGCCAGCAGGGACAGGGAAAGGATCTTACCCCTGTGCCCGGCACTGGGGAGGCCGCCCCTCGATTCCTGGGTTCAGTTCTGGGCCCCTCACCCCAAAAAGGCCATTGAATGACTCGAGCGGCTGGGGGAACTGGGGGGTTCAGTCTGGAGCAGAGGAGGCTGAGGGGCGACCTCCTGGCCCTCTGCAACTCCCTGCCAGGAGGGGGCAGAGAGGGGGGATGAGTCTCTGGAGCCAAGGAGCCAGCGCCAGGCCCCGAGGGAATGGCCTCAAGCTGCCCAGGGCAGGGTCAGGCTGGCTCTGAGGAAGGATTTCTGTGCAGAAGGGGCTGTTGGGCGTTGGAATGGGCTGCCCAGGGCAGGGGGGGAGTCCCCGGGATCCCTGGAGGGGTTGAAGAGTCGGGCTGAGCCAGCGCTGAGGGATCTGGGGGAGTTGGGAACGGTCAGGGTGGGGTTAATGGTTGGACTGGAGGAGCTGCAAGGGCTTTTCCAACTGAGATGTGATTCTGTAATCCTGCACAGAGGCTCTCTGGGTGCACCTGCTAGCAGCAGTGCTTGAGTACTCTGGGAGCTACATCCATCCATCTCCATAAGCTGGCAGGGCAGAGCTATCCGTACCAGAATGCATGCTCAGGTCCTGGCAATAAGCAAAGGCCGAGGGTAACTGAGGCGCTAGGGGAGGTGGACAGTGCCTTTAGGTAAGGGAGCCCACAGGCTGGCCCTGCCCTGGCTGTGGTGTTGGGCCTCACCTGCGCCTGGGCCAGGCAGGGCTAACAGCCCCCCCATGTAGGTGATGCCAAAACATGCCCCCAGCTGCTGCGTGGGAAGTTTCTCCCAGATGTGGCCCTTCAGGGCTGGGGTGGCAGCACCAAGTGCTGAAGCTCAGGGAAGCTTCGGGCTGGGTAGAGGATGGGCGGCAGAGCTGCAAGGTCCCAGAACAGCAGAAACATCTGAAGTTAATGTAAGGCTTGAAAGGAGAAAAGTAGTTTTCTGAAGGACAACATTGCCTTGTGGTTTAGGTCATTTTACCAAAGACAGTGCAGAATAGCTTCATTCAGGCTTTTCTTCTTCCCCATGGGGGCAGATGGAAAAAAGCAATTTACTACGTACTGCTTTACATTAGCTAGGGCATGCCTTGACTATAGGGTATCTTTTCATAAGTTTTTAAGATCTAACTAGAAATTAACAGAAACCAGAAATCAAATGACAATTTTAATAGACTTTAGAACAGAGTGTACAAGTATAAAACACTGGTTTTGTATTTCAAAAGTTGCAGGAAGATAGCCAGTCATTTTAAACAGTCTTCTACAAAACATATGCCAGTAGATTACATAAAAGACACTATATACAATATAAAAGAGCAGAAAACAATCCTCACTGTAAAAATAATTTAAAACAAAGTATTTCAATTTAAAATATCTCCTATAGCACAAACTAATACATTGTGACATGCAAGTGAAAACTAAACATATTGCATTCTTTAGTGTAGCCAAATAAGAGCTGTATTAAATCTGGACAATGAGACAACATGCCAACATTTTCTGATGAATACAGGAGGCTGTTCTTAAATATTTATTAACTGATGTATCTCATGTTCAAAGAACAGCTACTATACATCTTCCAAAATGTAATAAATATTAAAGCAAAGTATATGAATAATCTACATCGTAGAGTTCATTTGGGCCAACGTTGAAAAAGTGGTTTATAGAAAAATGCTGTTTCATTTACTACTGCACTGTGCAATTCTACAAAATAGTTCTAAAGGCTTGGAAACAATCCGCACTTGAAAATTTGCAACATCCAGTTTTAAGGCAGCCTAGCACTTGAATATACAATGTTGTAATTTGAGAAGCTGCTTTGCTTTTAATATGCAAGGTGGAGCTAGCAGGTTGAAAATGCTTTTCCCAACCTGAGGCATGACCCCAAACCAGCCTGCTGCCACGTTAGGCCGTTCATCTGTGTTTCATCCACGCAGCAGGGTACAAGCAGAGGCTCTCACTCTCTGAGTTAGTTTCTCCTGGTTTTGTTGCATCAGTGAGTACAAAGGAAGAGCTTTTTTTTTTGTGCCTTCTCACATGCTGGTAGAAACACTATTCTGCATCAGCCTAGCTTCCACATTAGAGCTGTGGAAATTTATCAAATGCTATTTTTAATGCAAGCTGCACTATATTTGACTTTTGTATACCACGTGAAAAACGTCTAGTGTGGGGGATCCATTTTGTTTAGAACACCAGTATTGTAATTGCTAAGGAGCCAATGTCAACATCGCTTCATGTCCACAGGAAGTATTAAACTCGGTAACCTAAGCATTTTCACAGCACTTCTTGATCAGCCTAAAAAACACAGGATTTCTCAAGTGCTCACTGTCTTGTTTCCATTTAACTATCTACTCACATTTAAGTATGTCTCAAACATACAAAGTAACTGTTAAAGCAAAAAATTAGCTGCCACAGTAGGTCTTAGAAAATGCCAGTGTTTAATGACAGACTAGGCAAGAATGAAAGGTTTAGCAGAAGCATAAGGTTTTAAATAAACCAAACTGTTAAAAGCGAGAGGTGTGAAAATACCATTCTTTGGTCTAAATTAGCTGTTCCCTTTATATTAGTTTAACATTCCAATGGCTTTTTCAAAACTGTTTAAAAATAATATAAGCTGAAATTCATTAAGCAAAAATATGTATTATATACATGGATGCCTGATCAGACAGATGAACTTAAAAGTGAACATAGTGACAATTGTTTAGATATTCCTAGTACCTTAAAAAAAAAAAAAAAAAAGATGAGTTAGTGTTGAGTGCGCAGTAATAGAATTTTATTGAAAAAGGTAAAAAACTAAGCATGAAAATCTGTTTTAGTTATTTATAAACACTACATCCTTATGTTTTTTGTTGCTCTAAATTCAGACGTAAACATTCATTCTGACATGCCAAAGCTCCTAATGCTGGTGGAAAGTTCTTGTAACCAGTCAGTGATCGCTTTACAACTTGTTGCTTGGATGATCAGTCCCTGTAGCTTCATTTGTATAAGCTGATTCATCAGCTGCTGATTCATCTTGTTCAACTCCATCTTCCCCGAAACCAGGTTCCTCTTCCCTTTCAGGAGCATCCTCATCCTCTATGCCATTGTAAAACTCTTCAATCTCACTCTCATCCTCCACATCTAAACTCTGACTACGACATGAGCCACTTTCACTACTACTCCCGCAAGAGCTAGAAGATATGATATCATCTTCAGAATCTGAGTATACCTCAGCACCATGGAAAATATAGCGATTTGGTGGTAAAAACAGATACTGAGTACCTGAAACAGAATTTCAAAAGTCAATAAAAGGCTAAAATAATTCTGGTTAGAAGGTACACACGTGTTTTTGACAGTGAAACTTAACTCACAGATCAGTTTACATGAGAAACACATTCATTTCCATTTATGTGTATTTGTTATGAAGCATAAAACAAATGCTTCACTGGAAAGCCCAGCATTCCTTTTTTTGACACAAAAGAGCATTTAAACTTTAGCAGCTTTTTTCACTGGTTCACATATTCACGGATTTCCATTACTTGTAACAGAACTGGAACCCACTGCACAGACTATCTGGCAAAGTTTAAAACCGACATTGGCTTTGGAAATTTGCAATTTAATACCTGGTTCTTCAGCCCCATGGATCTTCTAGTGTGGTAACTGCTTACACCAGTTAAGAGACCGGACACTGGAAGGCTTCCTTGGAAAGTCTAATGTTTCCTTCGAAATATGCTTGGCTCCACCTGTGAGATTTGCTTTTTAACTCCTACCATGGCCTCATCTTTCAGTTCTACTGCCATACCAAATTCTGACCTAGTGTGATCAGCTTCTTAACACCTGAGGATCAAACTAATTTTCTGAAACTGCATTTGAGAATGTTAGAAACAGATTTTTTTTTTTTATACCTACCTTCAACCTCCTAAACTTTTATCTTTTTAGGGGTAATGTAATCACCAATTATAAAACCTATTATGAACTACAAAAACATTTCCTATCAGCTTCTCCAAAAGAATTTAAGTGATACAATGATGAGTTATGTAGACACTTGTCTGAGCAAAAATCACCACCAAACCCCACAGATTCCCTCAAGGGTAACTTATTTATTAAAGTAAGTCTAGAGTAAACGTATCAGCCAAAAAATGCAAAATATTGAAATGAATTAACACTTACCATCCAGCCTTTTGCTAATCTGTTCTTTTGCAGATCTGTTTACCCAGCACTTCTTCAATATTTCATTTTTTTCTTTATTTTCACTGTTAGATCCATTTTCCTTCATTGTTTCAGAGTTCATTAGTTCACTAGTAGGATTTTCAGGATTTTCTGATGATGTCTCTGTGTCCTGAAACTTTTCCTCTGTGCAGGTCCCTTTAGTTTCTGAGACAGGATCACAGTTTTCTACCTTACATTCAGCTGGCTGTTCTGAAGACACCACTGAAGTATCTGGTGGAGTCATTCTTTCTGGTGAACTAGAGTCTTCTGAAATGTTTAAAGGGGTAGGCGGTAGCTCTGACGAGTGCATTTCAAGCTCCTTGTGCGTTCGTGGAGGCTTTTCTGTTATTTCTGAAAGTTTCACCGAGTTGTAGCAAAGCTTTGTATATTCACTACCTAGCCTTTGACATAATTCATTAATAATAACATCACAGTCTCCAAGAAGCTCCACGTCAAAGTGTAGATGAGGCAAAGGTTCCCTGTTAATTAAGATCTGAGGCACTTCGTGGGGGATGGAACCTATATATAGAAAAGAGAATTTAAAGGTAGCTGCTTCAGTTGTACTTTCAGCAGAGATCTACTCAGAAAGCTTGATTCCTCAGACTTCTCTTCATACCTTCACTTGCAACAAGACCAAAACAGACAGATCAGGAAGACGACAGGCAAATCTCAAATGTAGCAACAGCAGTTTGAGGTGCTGTGCCTGCCGTAGCCTATCTAGGCTTTTTTCCCACATTTTTTTTCAGTAAAAAGGTTCCTCAATTACTGAGAAATACTGACTACAAGTAATGCTTGGTCAAGTGCTAAAATTATTACAATTACTACTATAATCTCTCAGAAGAATGATGTTGATTTTTTGCATTCATTTTATGTACTGAAGTGCACATGAAGAATATCCTGCTGCTAAATGACATCCTCTTAATTAGGCCAAAATATTTCCAGGTACAATCTACACTGTGTGGGGTTGCTCAATCCATTTCTCATGTTCAGGCTTCCAAAACCACCATTTTGGTAACCTAGAATTGACTCCTCAGGTAACCAACTGATGAAATCCAGTTCTAGGACACAGAAGGAGCAATTGTTTGGGTAGTGGATCGTAATTTTTTAGTCCTTATGCATTTCCCATCAGCCTGAACACCAGGTTCGGCCTCTTTTATGGCAAAGAGGATGCTACTGCAGAGGCCATGGATGTGGTACTGCTCCCAGTCAACAGCAGATAGGAAGCACATATCCTTCTTTCTCAGGCTTACACGTGAAGAGAATTTCTTTAGTACCAGTAAGTCTTGCACTCAGTAGGCAAATAAATCACCTCATGGTATTTTCCCAGCCTTCCTGGAGGGCATTTTTCTATACCATGTATTAGCAGAGATGTTTTTCCATATCAGTTTTAAAAGCTAAGGATCCAAATGGTGACACACTAGATAACGCCCACTGTGTATCATTTGGTATTAAATACTGACTTTAAAATAAGGTACAGCTCAGAAATCTGATGTAGTTGATCGATTTTTTGATATTACATTTATCTTTTTAAAGATGATTCCTTTCTAAATCTTTCAAGTAACTGAAAGCATAATTGCAAGCAGGGAGAGAAACGAATTTTATCCCAGAACAAAGTCATTCAAGTTTTAGGAGAGTGTTTTTTCAGATTATCATTTCATTACCTTGAGATCTGCCTGGAGCCTAGAAAAAGAAGTTAGAATTTGTTACTTCCTCTACTTTGGATTCCAAGTTTACATAGGCAGTCAGTTTTTATCTTGCAGAACTAGATGCTTAATCTAGTTTATTCACTGAATCAAGTCAAAAGCATTTCTTAAAGCTCTTAACTGAGAATTTCACTTTTGATTGAAATTTCTGGAAGGAAACATTACCAGAGAGAGTCACTTACTTGGAATCAATGCTACTGGTCTTACTTTCAGTGAAGACCCAATGACAATAAGGAGATCGACTTCATTTTTGTCGTACTTCATGGCACGATGGAACTGCTCAGGTAAGTTCTCTCCAAAGAACACTATGTCTGGCTTCATGATAGCGAGCGGTTCATCAGGTGGACATCTAGGACATCTAGGTACAACCTGCATTAGAACAACTTCTATTACTGCAATTCAAGGCTGCACCTTTGGAAACCTCAGATTTTAGCAATTCACAGTGGCTTCTATTGGCAAAAGACAAATGTCAGTGATATTGCCTGATTTCATTTTTCTGCAGATAGACTGACAAGAACATTTCTTACTCTAGCCTGCAGGAACTGCACACAGGAATACAACCACAGCAGGAATAAAGGGTGAGTCCTCTTAAGTCAAAAGGGAGAAACCACACAGATCTACACCATAGTTATTACCTGACAACTAAGCCAAAGTCCAGAAGTCATGCTCAGCACCAATAATTACCTCCTATTTGACAGGAATATATTCTTCTGGGTTTAATAATTACAGAAACGTAGGTTTTGCTGTCAGCTTCCATTGTAGGATCTGATAGAAAACCCTCATCAAAGAGCATGTTGTAGAGCTTCACCTCTCTCCTCTCCTCCAAAAGGCTATCCGTGTTACACACGTAAATTGGCACTGTAACAGGTGGCTAGCAAAAAGCATACAGGTCAAGACAGAGGAAAGACCTTTTGTCTGGTGTCCATTTTAAATTTTGCCAATTCCTCCAAAACTAGAACCAAATCCTTATTCACTAAAAAAAAAAATAGATGAGACATGTTTGTGAAGTAGGATCCCTCTCCTCCTGAAACCAGAGGATTTTCTCATCTCTGGAACCTCTTTCAACTCTTCCCTATCTTAAGACTTTTTCAGAGAGAAGAAAAGCAAGGTGAGAGATATGTGCACAGGCAATACTTCAATTACTACTGAGAAATTTTTCTTTCAAATAGTTCAAGTCTTCTCAGCTGTAGTGTTTAAATACAATACACCAGAATGAATCTAAGGAGCTGAATGTAGCTGCAATCCTAGAGCCGTCATACAAGCAAAAATGTAAAGGTGTAGAGAGATGTATATTACCTATTGTAATAGGAAAATAGATGAAAACTGACATTTAAGTGCATAATAACTCCCACTTGTACAGAGAACATATGCAGAAAGAAGTAATGCAGAACTTCGCCTCAATCAAACAACTAGTTTATGGATGCCTGCCTGCAGGACAAGAGACAACGCTGTCTGAATGAGAAAACATCACAACTAAAAGGCTTCCTCTAGTGTCAAAGGACATTTCCCAAAAATTTAAGTCTTCAAACAAAGAATCCAATCCTTCTTTGCAGAAAACCTTGTGGAGGGATGCGTAAGCAGCAGTATAGCACACTAACTAGGAACTGGTATGGAGGAAACCTTAACCATATACCCGAGCTGAAGAGCATCTAGTAACCCCACACTAAAGGGAAATCAACTAAAGAATTCCCCAAAAAGGAGCAGATGGGTAGAAGGAATCTTGCGCTTTTTCCTCAGATCTTTACATATTAGAAAGAAAGCTCATAACACACAAACAGCTTAAACTTTACTGAAGCTTTTCTGCTGTCTCTTCTGTTGATGTTAGTGATGCCTTTGCACTTTCAGTTGGAAGCTTGAGGAGGAAAAAGAATTTTCTCTGTGTTAGGACGAAGATGAAATGAAGAGCTCTAACTTTTGGTTTAAAGAGACCAAGTAATGTTAACTCTGTGTCCATCATTTCTCACAGGACGTCCAATGACTTGTGACTTAGCAGATCTCTGTAGAGAACTGATGTCCCTATCCAGATCATCTGAGTCCCTGTAAAGGGCCCATAAATGCATTTCAACACTACACTACTCACCAGGTCCTCTGCTAATCCTCTGAAAGGTCGTCAGTAAGGGGGAAGATCTATTCCAAGAGCTGAAATTGATACCAAGAAGTTAAAGCTAGATAATTGGCCAATCAATTGCCTGGGGTCCTCTTTCCCTCCAGAAGCAGCCCTCCCCCAGAATCCCACCACCTCTGCGGATGTGTCTAATGAAACAGAAACGGAATTTCTCATTGACTACTGATGTTATCCATATATCAAAACCAAGATTAGTTAAGGTTACATTGGCTTAAGAATATCCAAAAGTGGTGCACATTTTCTATTTCCTGGGCTGCTTCCTCCTAAATCTGAGACGCTTTCCCTATTTCTTGAAGCTACCTAAAATCATCAAAAGCAAACTAAAAGTGGTATTTTTGGAAGTGACTGACAATTGATTTACTCAGAAGTTCTGTGTGTGATTTATAACTGCTGCTGCTTCTCATCCAGAAGGATGGTTGGGTACAGCAACCGAGAGAAAGGATCTTGCTAGAGGGAACTAGCATGTGGTCTTGGAAGTGGCAAAAGAATCAAGAGCAGTAACAAGAAATTGGCAGTTTTCTAAAAAGATGTTCTCAGACAATTCTCAGTCTGTGCTGAAAGGAAATCCTGGCAGAAAGATGCTAACTAGACTCACTTCCTTGTGAAGCATTTATGACCACGAGGAGATGGACCAGAGCAAAGGAAAGGTAGTATTTTCAGGGAAAACTAAGGACCTGGGACCATGTATAACTGAACTTTCAAGTAGTGGAGAACAGCAGAGACTAGAAGCTGGACCATCTATTGGTACCCAGGTGACAAAACCATGTGTGTGAAGGAGGACTTCTTAGAGCATGAAGCTGTTGAAATGGACAGTGTTTGGTTTCGTAAGTAAAGAACAGGTTTCTTTCGATATATAAGGAACCAAATTCTATATTCTAGAGAGGCAGTGGAAAAAGAAACTGCTTTGGGAAATTCAGGCTACAGAGTAAAGATAATGATGGCAAATAGAACAAATAGAACAATTTTATTTTCAGGCATAATGGAGAAAGGATATGTTGTCTTTCAATAGCTGTATTTCTTGTTGTGTGAAATGCTATTTGGCAATAGCCATATTTATATTCTATTATGAAAATAATTGAGTATTACAGCTAAGGCCTGCCTTGGAAAGATATACATGGCAGCAGTACTGTGAGATCAGGGATGAGAGACTGTGAAAAGCTCCTTCAGTCTCATCTTGGGAGTAAGAACCCTCTTTGTTCTCATTATGCAGAATTACTGCTACCAGCTGCCTCTCTCCACTCCCCCATGCTTCCATTACTGACACCAGCAGGGACACAAGTTTGGTTCAGCATATGAACTCACAACGATTAAAGTGCTGTTAGAAAAAGGTGACCCAACCACTAACAATCAAAACAGAAAATTACAACATGCTTAGGAAGGTTGTTTAGAAGGAAGAAAACCTAAACTCCAATCGTCTGGCTTTGAAGGTAAACGAGCAGCAAACATCTGTAAGATAAAAAGTTCTCAAAAATAATATTCTTAATAGCAAAGTATGAGATTTCACATTCAGTATTTCAGTGTTATAAAGCTTCAGGCTTACAAGATTCATATTTCTTAAAGCTTTAACTCCAACATCTCTTTGAAAGGTTCTCATCAAGTTCTATTTCAAATGTAATACCTGAAAGCTTTATATCCCTTAAGTTGCAACTGCAGACTCTTTTAAGCATTTATCAAAAAACCAAGAGCCTACAGAAAAAGTCACCTTCCCTTTGTATAAATAAAATCTTTTCGGTCAGAGAATCACCATCTCTGTTCATTCTGAAGGGGAAGAAAAGCAGAGGGTCTTGCTGAGCCAAAGTTTTATCTGCTCTGACAGAGCAGAACCAACTCCTGCCTTGGGTCTGGGGCACTTCACACCCAGATGGGGGGAGTTCAGGATGTGGAATAGTTCAGAAGTCCTAGAAAGCAACGTCCAACATCTCATCTTATCCTCTTCCTTGCTCACCAGCTGCTCTGTGGTTAGCAATTGCTCCTTGTATCATCTACTGTTCAAACATATTTTTAATGTAGGTAAATGCTCAAAGAGTGACGGGTGTTATAGCTAAGAATGCCTTCTCAGGGGGACTCCGAGTGCAGATTAACATAAACCACATAGAAATCCAACTTTCTACTTACCATTTTTTAACCTCTTACTTTTCTCGGAGGTGCCATTAAAAATGAACTCATGGTTCTGTTCTGCTTTTTCCCCATTACCTCATTTTTGCAGTACAGTATTTAAGTATACTTCTAAATACTAGAGGAAATGCTAAAATACAGATAGAAACTTTTATGAAATGCATGCAAAGATTGTAGCCTTTTAAAAGCAGATCTTCTAAGCAATCCAAGTGTGGTGGTTTGGGATGTAGGATTTTTTGTTGTTTGTTTTGAGAGAGAATTACTTGTTAGAAAGCTGCAGTGAGTTAAAGTAAATTTTTTACCTGATTGAAAATATCTCCTCGAACAACTTCACAATCAACTTTGTATTTACAGATCAGGCAGGAAGCTGTTGCAAAGGAACCTGAGGGGAAAAACCCGTATGGTAGAAATAAGGATTTTCAGTCATTCAGATTTGGTTTTTTTGCCCAAACTGTTTTGACACAAAGGCTGTTATGTTGCAGTGCTATAAAAAAATCAGTCATTAAAAAGTAATGTAAAATTAAGAGAAGATACTTGTAGTACTAGAAGTAGTTCTTCCAGATATTAGTCAGCAGAAATCTTGTTTTAGAAGTAGTGATATACCACATGCATGTCAACACAAATTATATTGTGTCCTTTCCTTCCCCCAACCTATGTGCAAGCATATAGCAAGAGGGGGGAACAGAACCTTCCCTTTTCCTCTTTACACAACAGTGCCGACAGCTCTGCAAACAGCAGCAGCTGAACATGAAACCACAGGAACTCAAGAAGCTGTAAGGCAAAATAACTATGAAAATGTATTAGTAAAGATTGCACTAGAGGCAACTAAATAGCAGTTCTGTTCCTTTCAGGAGAAGTGAAAAGTTACAGCTATATTGTTCACATTGAAATACTGCTCTGAACTGAGTGGGTATCCAGCGTAGCTACTGTGTTTGTTACTTGGCAAGACTGTGTTAAGGTTGTTGCCCCACCCAGCCACTTGGCAGCTCTCACTGGCCTGTTCCTGAAGCAGCTGAAGGTGATGCCTGAGCATCTGGTACAGCTTTCTTGTCTCTATCCATCTCAAGGTAAACCTTCTCAGGTGGCTAACACACACATAAAAATACAGCGTTGAAGTCTTTGGGGAAAACTAGAGGGACCTTTGGGTGCACAAATGTCCAGGAGAGATACACCTCAAGGCCTTTTATCTGTGGCAGGAATAATACTACTAAGTTGACAGAATGATGAAGAATAAAGTAGGAAAACTGATGGATTTTCTCTTAAAAAAAGACTTGAGGGTCTTTGAACCTGCACTGGAATGTGCCACTCATACAGCAGAAATCTGGAGCTCTCTAATTTATAATGGTGATACAAGGGCACTAAGAAAACCCTGTGACAGTAATGTACAAGGGGATACATCAGCCTCTCTCCAAAACGAAACTTTTAGAACCATTAAGGTAACCATTAAGATGTTGAAAGCTCTGCAGAAGCTAGAAACACAGCTAAAAACCTCTGGTACCAAAATTTTATCTGGAGTTTAATTTTAAGCCACCCAAACCCATGTCTCCTGCTCATAACCTATGCACAGCAGCCAACCAACACTTACAGTGCTAAATGAAGGGATTCCGGGGCTAAGAACAACAACAAAATACACTCTGGGGACATTGTATCTTGGTAAGACAAAGAGCGAATGCACAGAAAAACTTAGAGCAGGTCATTGCTCTAATGTTCAGTCTGCTAATCACTACTGCATGGGAAGTGCACAGCTTCTGAAACACTTGCTCAGCACCGCGCCTCCCAGAACCTGAGGGATTCCAAAGACTACAGGAAGTATGACAGTTATTTGCTCATTATATTTTATTTATAGTAATAATTTTGGCCTTTATACAGTGTGTTAGGGATATATCTGTCAGGCTAGCAGACCTAAGCCTAAGGCATCTGTTGCTACCTACTCGCAACTTTAAATTGTGAGTTATTTTTCACCATCAGAAGGATCAAGCAGTTATGCTGCTCCAAGCAGGAGTCATGTACCCAGCAGGCTGCTGCCTCCATCATTCAGGTACAGCAATGGCAAGGAATATGATCTAATTCCAGACATGTTGGCTGAATGCAATAGAAATTTTAAATTCAGAAAATGCATTTCACATACAGTAGTTTTCATAGTAGTGACTGTCCTGTAGGCCTGCAGTGTGAAGGGGGTTCAGAGTTCATATAGAACTCCCCAGATCATCGCAAATTTCCTATTTGGCACAGTCACGATTAACTTGCCAGTGCTATACAAAAAAGAATAAATACAGCAGTATGAACCTTTCTACATAAGGTTTTCAGTTTCTCTTTGGCTACTGCCATTAGTCAACTAGCATTTGTTAATGGGCAGCATAATTGTATGTTGGATAAATCCCAATGTGCTCAACCTTTGCTAATTTCCAAAGGCCTCAATCTCAAAAGTCCATAGCATGTTTTTAAAGAGTATTTTTTAATTTAAAATCAACTTATACAGGACATACACTAAAGATGGTCTGAAATCTAATTACTGTAGTGTACAGATGAAAAAAAATGGGAAGCCTGAGTGTGGCAGTGATGTACGAAAACACAATATCTAAGAAGTTCATGATAAATACCTCATGCTGAATGACAACCAAAAGAAAATGCATGATACACTAAACACAAATGGAAACTAGCACTAGATTTAGATTATTCAACAGGTAGGATTCTACTGTGTGCTGTTTGGTCACCACAAAAGAGCACCATGTTTTCTCTGTCTGAAAAAAGGAAAGGGACTGATCTGGCACTGAGCTAAAGCTTTGTAGATAAGGAAACCAAGTGAGTTTGGTCCCTGGAAGAGGTGGAGTAAGAGAGACAGATCTTACAAACATGCCAACACTGCTTTTAAACAATTTATTTATCAGAAGTCTACTAAATGATCCAAATGTGCACTTTAAGAACTAATTTTCTGCATCCTTTCCTTAAAAATGAATCCTTGGACTTAGCTTGACATTTGCAAGTCCTTGGAAATGGAAAGGATATCAAGCAACTAATTAAGATATTCCACTTGATTTGGTATCATAATTACAGAATGTGTATGACACTAAAAAGATTATCTTCAATTCAACTGAACTGAACTGGTGATTAATCCACAATATTTTATACATGAGATAAAGTCACTGAAGCGTCAGGATGTTTTAAGATTTCAATGGAATATAACTTAAGTAAAGAATCAGGTGACAGCCAAACTCCGTTTCATCAATAGACAGTGAGAGGAACCTATGAAAAGACTGATTTCCACACTATGTTCTCATACATGAATATAAAGAAGCAACAAATATATATTAAATGTTAAGGTCTAAGCTTGTGTAAACAGGGTGTGGATCTTCACTGATACACAAAGACTACCATTTAGCAAGCATAATTTCTGAAAAAAATATTTCCACTAAACCCCACAGCATTTTAAAAGCAGAGTATTTGTTGCCAAGAGATACTAATTAAAGAAAAAAAAAAATTATTCCAATACTGATTACCTTGTCACATGCACCAGTAAAAATGATTCCTACACATAAAATAAGTGAATCTAAAACCACTAACCATGACACTGTATTATCCTTTGGATTCCTGCAACCTGTTCCAATGTGTCTATGTTCTGAGTATAGTTGCGAAGTAGTTTTCCTTCTTTATCCATCAAAGCTATGAACTTGTGACAGAGAGATGGCTGGAATTGTCCTGGATAGATTTCCTAGGGAATTCAGAAGTACGTTAGGAGTGTAAATGGCTACATAATGTATTTATGTATATTTATAATATATATATTTATTCCAACTGCAGCAATTCACATAGAGCTAAATATTATCAATAATGCTTATACCAGCAGTTAATATTATCACTCTGCATTTTGCCGTTTCTCTCAGTCTTCTTTCAACAGCTGAGCTTCTGATCATGTCAGGATGAATTGCTCCACCCAAGTTGGTATTTTGTTCTTCACACAGTATAAAAGCAAGGTTTAGATCTTTTTTTGGTTTTGAGAACTATGAAATAGGAAAGCTTTCTTCCTCTGTAATAGTCAAGTAACCTCAATGTTTGTTATTAGAAACATACATGGTTTAACTGCAGTCCAACAAAAATTTAATGAGGAATTTTGGTTTGTGATCAGCAGCCATTCGTAGAAGATGGAAGCTCAGAAAGCACAATGGCACTGGATATAAACAGCAAGACAGGTGGTACTCAGACCAGCTTTGTCAATTTAGCCAGTTACAGCAATCATCAACTAAAACCATGCTCTGCCTTAGCAGAGCAACTCCACAGTGCCTGATAGAGGAGGTCAGTATACTACAGAGCATATGGAAAAAAACGTAGGCACTTTTGTAGAATGATGGGATGTTTGCTCACAGTGAACAAGGAGCCTGCCAAAAGGCAAGATGAAATGTGGGCACCCAGCTGCAAGCTTCACTCTAGGAACCTCTGTCTAGAGTTGAGCACCCCATGGGGCAGCTCTGGTGGCTGTGCAACAAGGACAGCACCACCACCACCACTCTGCTGCTCAGGAGGATTTATTTATTTAGGGAAGAACTTGAATTCCTGACCAGTTGCACTTTCACCACCCAGCTGGGCTGGAGCCTCACCTGGGAGAGTGAGGCTCTTTTACAGAAAAAGCACAAGAGTCACTGGCCAAAAGATAGTCAGCCAAGAGGCAGCTGCAGCCTCCCTTTACCAGTAGATACTTAAAGCTGAACCAAAAGTTCTAGCACAACAGTGAACTTGGTAGCTGAAGGCAGAGCAGTCACAATGTAGACTATGAACAAACAAAAAAAGACTTTTTGAAAGCATCTGTTTATCCCCAAAATATTTCAAGTTACTTATTTTTAAGCAACATGGGTCTTTGGACTTCAACTGCAGCAATGATCAATGATTGCTCGTAGTGTTATTGCCTACATTATGACTAGGCATAGACAGCTATAATCAAATACTCCTGTGGTCCTAACAGCTTTTATAGTCTGAAAAAGCAAGACAGGTTCTGCCACTGAGCTCTGCAAATTTATTTGCTGTTCTTTGCCCCTAGAATTAAAGGAGCCTAAGATTTCACAGAATAATTTAAAAAAAAAAAATCAATTAATCTGACTGAGCTGATGGACAGAAAAGAAGAAATAATTTTAGTACAAAAGGACCAGCCAAATTGGATTTGAACTATTCTGGTAAAACCTGTGTATAGACACACTTTAAATAACTTGGAGTTTTGGGGTTGTGGGTTTGGGTTTTTTTTTTTAAATATATATTAAATACCCAAAAGACTGAGTATACTAATGAGCATCAAAATATGTTGTATCTGGATAGGAGGCTTTCAGATAAAGCCAAGTAGGTGAAGAATGCATTGATTTTTCTTTGACAATCATTACAACGTAATAGAGCAGTAGTATAACTTGTGAGTGAAGGGAAGGAAGAGTGAACACAACTAATAGTGGTTGATTTTCACAAGTCCTTACTGTCCTGTAGTAATTCTTACAATATTTCAGTTTTTATTTTTTTGTCTGAACGAAATTTCAGACTAAATGCAATTAATTTTTTTTTGTTTCTACATACGTCTACAGCTTCTACAATTCCTTCTTGTCTTGGAGATGTACTCCCTGCTTTTTGAACTGCTTAATGTCACTAACATCTTTTCAAGAACTGGTGCATTCTCCCTTTTAAGCAGACACAGTCCCTGCAAAAAGGCTTTAATTCTCTAAAGATGTACAGATCCTTGTGACAGCTATCAAAACCTGAAACAAGAACAAACTTATTAGTGCAGGAAGCTGCTTTAGTCCTCTTACTGTAAATACAGTGATAAAATGCAAATGTATTGTATGACACTGAAAAGCATGCCACAGCATATAAATTTCCTATGTAGCCTTCTACATTACTCATGTGCTGGTCAAAGATTTCTCATATTCTTGCATTTTTCAGAGAAAGTAAAAGCAGCTAAGATTATTGAGGGTCAATCAAATAACTACAAGTTTTTGTTTATCCTCCCTGAAGTTAAGAGACACTGTTTAGAATGGCTGTATATATAATGAACTTGTAACAGTAATAGTAAAGCTAAGCTTAAAAAGAAAAGAGAGAATGTTGCTAATTATTTCTAATAAGGCTAATACATGGTTGCATATGACTGAAGTAACAGAGAAGATATAAAACTGATACACTGCCAAGACCTGCCCAAGGAGAGAGGTTGTCATGCCACTGAGATCACTCATTAAAATAAATTCAATATATGAACATATTTTTCTATCTTTAGAAAAAAAAAGATACCATTTTGTTAACAGAATAGTTTAATCTCCAACTGATGCAATTTAATATTGTTATCTGTCTTCACTGACCAAAATAACAACTGTTGGAAAACCATACCTTTGCAAACTTAAAAAATGGCCTGGGATCCTTTCTGAAGTATTCTATATCAAACATTGCTTGAGGATCTGGAAGGTCTGGGAAGTCTACAGCAAGGCGTGCATAGATGCCATCTCTTGATCTAAAGTCAGGTATTCCACAAGACACAGACACCTGAAATATATTTTTGCAATCTCAAGTAAGTAAAACTACACATTCAGCTATAAAGAGCTGCTATGATACAAACTATGTGGGAAACCACATTTCCATATGCTCACAGTGCTCAGAAACATTAAGAACAAAACCAGTCTGGGTTCTCTGTATTTATTTTTTTCTTTTTTTTTTTTCTTCTTCTTCTTTTTTTTGGACCAAAGTAACAATTCCCAAATCACAAGCAGGAGGAACAGCACAGAAACAAAATTTGACAACTGGACAAAGCAACCCTTTAGTACAATCTGTACAGGCAGTAACAGGACACCAGAACTGACTTTTATTACTGGAAGTTTTGTACGTAGTGAACAAAAATTTGCAATACTGTTGCATTAAATTTGATTACTACGTGTTCACTGATCTGCCAACTTAGGCTTGTTCAAAGTGGTTGATTTTATTTATTTTTTTTACATAAACACAGTAACAAATTCTTGCTTTTGATGAATAAACCTCTTTTGATAAACAAACATTGTTTACCAAAGCATTGTATAGTAGTCAATAGAGTCTAAAACTTATTGTCTCAGACTACACCAAAATACTATGGGAAGAGGAGGAGAAACAGGTGCATGATAGCAATTATAGAAAGAGCAAGGTTGGGTAACAGAAGTAGCAGTGCTTTTTTAACATGCTGATTTGAATTACTCATCTTTTCTGAATGGTGTCACACCCTCTGTGTATGAACAACAGAAGCAAAAAATGATCGACTTTTGTATCATCATCTGGTACATAGGTATAAAGCTGCAAATGTACAACAGTTTGAAAACGGTCTTTAGTAAAACAGTGAGTAATGTTATTACCATCACAGAGTGGCCTATGTTAAAAGTAAAACTCAGTTTACTGCAACCTAATCAAACTCTCCTTATAATCCTCCCCCCTGAACTTTTTTTTTTTTATTATTCTGTTCTTCTAGTCCCTCTAGTTCCATCAGATATTTTAAGATCCACTGACATTTTGTTTAAAAAAATCTTTACCTTTGTTTCAAATGAAAAAATGACTAGAATAGAAAGTCTTCTGAAACAGGTAGATGTGATCTTATTCCATAACTATTTCACATGGAAGCAGCTGTTTAAGAATATTTTCTATTAAGACAAGATCTTGTAATTTCCAACTTAAGCTCCAGTCTTGCAGTGTGCATCATTCTAGTGGAGAGCTGTGCCTGCTCTAGCACAATTATTTGATTACAAGCACTGCGAGGGTCACATCACCTGCATGCTGTAGAGCACTGGATAAGTATTTAACAACTCTCTCTATATTCTCTCACAGTCATTGCAGCAATACATACCCCAGCTCCTGTCAAGACCATTATTTTTTTGCATTCTTGTAAAAGTTTCACAGCATCATCAATAGTATTAATATCTTTTCGCTTTTTTCTTTTTGGTGGTTCTGAAAGAATGTTTATAACAATTTGCCACAGTGTCATATCATCCAGTTCGGGTGGAGGGATTGTTTCTGGTAGCAGGTCTTTCAGAATTGTCCGTGGGTCTGTACCTAACATGAGATGCTGCTGAACAAAAGTGTAGGGACCTGAGGAAATTAAAAAATTATAAACATTTAAATTAAGTCAGGTATTTCATATTATTATGATCATCATCCATTTATTAATGCTTGCTACTACAATTTCATTAATGCAATTTAATGCTTCATTCATCAAAACCCCAGTATGTTTTGCTCTAAATTCTGAAGTGATAGCACAGCTAGGGTTTTTACTTATTTATTATTATTTTATGTTAACCCATGAAGGATTTCCTCAAAAGTTAGTCATGGCAGAAATCCCAGTTCATAGCAAACATGATGGCTTAGAGGTTCACTTACTTAGCACCAAGATTTTCACAATGTATCTCCATTTTATGGCTTCATTTGTATTTTTCCAATGTTTTGTAAGGTATTTACAGTAATAAGTTGAAGAGACAAACACACACACACACACATACTTTCTAATACATCTAATAATACATCACTCTAAAGAGACAAACAGGACCCTTCAATCCATGGATTGTTTGTTGTTCTTTTAGTTGTCTAACACTAATGATTTCCTACATGACCTCCTAAAGCCACTGAACCAATCTTTCCAGAAATATTCCTGATTAGAGCAGAAGAAAAATAGGTAAATCTTAAGAAGTTAAACCAAGAGGACCCAAATAGCAATCACTAGGCTAGTTACAACTCATCTAAAGAAAGCAGCAGTTAATAGATATTTATCCAAAAGGTACCAACAGTGATCCTGTAACGAGGGCTCAACAAAGACAACACATGGGCAGATTTTAAGTGAAATACTGTGTTATCATCATGCAGTTTCTTACCGTTGCTATTATCAACACTGGCAAAATGAATGCTCTGGTGTTATCATGTCTGCATAAGATAAAAGACCTCAAGTCCCAACCCCACCTCATCCTGAAAGCCACGTCCCACACAAATCACAAGTGACCTTCGCAGTTATCTCGTCTGTGTGAGGCAAGAACTTTCCACTGTTTTCCTAACTGCCATGCTTCACAGATCTGTGGCTAACATGCAATATATATGTGGACTAATAATTCCCAAACGGATGTAACACTTACTACAGTGAGCCCTACAGCCTGGTTAAAATCATACGAGAATTCTCTTGTTCCTTAAAGAATTAATACTAAGTAAATAAGCTAGAAATATGCCATAAATCTGTTCAATTTAGAGAGTCTGTGTGTATGCTTTTAATATGGATCACAGCAGGATTTCAACACAAAAGACACTGACAATTTTAATGAAAAACGTACAGGTTCATTTTTAAGCTCCTTAAACAACATACAGAATACAGTCAACAACTAAGCTGCTCAAAAGCAGTTAATTGCCTCTTTTTTTTTTTTTTTTTTCAACAGAAGCAATAATTTGAAGACTGGGAAGAATTAAGGAACTGTTCAAAGGCAAACAGCATCTAAGAACATTATATAGGCTTCTACCTATACGCGGTCTTGGGGTCCAATCGCTAGAACTTGCATGTGAAGCTCTGTCATCTTCATCACTATCACAGGAGTGAAAACCATTGGCTATGATTTCATCACTAAAAAGGAAGTTATCTGCAAGACAGCACAACAATGACAGGTTACACTTGGGCCAAATGGCACAGATCTATATTTAAACACATCACAAAACCTAAAATTGTATGCTTAGAAATTTGATTGCAATGAATTACAAATAGGCAGGTTTGTCACTTAAGATGCAGAAAATGTCTACCTTTTTTTGACTTTGTAGATACGGTTTCAAGGCTTCAGTAGATTTACTGCAGGTTTTGCTATCTTAATACTGGGCTTCAGTGGGCTGGATATTGACCTTAGTGAAATTTTCACCCTATGAAGTGTTTGGCATTAAGGATTTTGTATCTTTAAAAAAAATCCAAATATTTAAAAAGTACAGTTAAAATTTCCTTTCTCTTACAATTCTCCCTTCATTCAGCTCACTGAGAAATTGAATAAAATGAAAATGTGTCACTATTTATAGACCAGTCTTTGACTACATTTTAAGAGCACAGCATTATTAGAAGAAACTCACAAATACCCATTTGGATACAACTGAGTTACAGAATTTTCGTAGGCTGTTACCCTGCAATAGGTGACCACATACACACGATATTTCAGTTATGACAGAAAACGTGCTACCTTCACTAAGTGTCTCTCACCCATTTTACCCTGCAGCTGGGTTTGGCTTAGAGTACCACATAGTTCCTTCAGCTCAGCTCATGGCCTTAAGCCAGAGTAACTCAATCTAACTTCATCATGTATCTAGATGAAAGAGTCCAAAGAGAACGAGATACTTGTCTTACAGCATGCATTACTAAACTAACATATACTGGGAAATCTAAATTTTAACCTGAGCAGCTTATTAGAATTTAGACTACAAAACTTTATGTGCTTTATTAAAAACAGACACAGCAACTTAATTTGTTGAAAATCTAAGACTATGAACAAAGGAGAACAAGTTTCAATCATGCTCTCTAAAGCAAAGAATCACTGTAAGAATTTTCAATCTCTATTTGAATAAACCCCCACAACATTTAGCTAAGTTACTTCACTCTTAAATAAAGACCACCACCAAACATAATTTTTATAATTCAAAGATTGTGTTGTCCTGTTCTTTCCCTTGTGACATAAAATTAGAATGGAAAAAGGTAGAGGTCAGAAATTTGCTTTTTGCATATGCTGTCTTGTTATTCTGAGACCACAGGTGTTCACTGACATTACTATTTCTCACTATTCATCTATGTATTTACAGCATTTCACTTCCATCTCATTATGCATGAAGTTTGTAAGCTTATTATGCAAAAAGCATAACGGTGAAGAAAAAAAATTAGTACATATCAGCAAGTGTGAAGTGCAAATTTTACTGCAACGACCTTTATAGCTACTGTATAAAAAAATTAAACCTTACATTGTTCAAGACTCATCATAGACAAGTCACACTGTCTTGTATTTAAGAAACACTGACAGATAACAAGCAGGCTAAAGGAACAGTTTAAATTACAACTCACCCTGTGCATTAGTTTGATCCCTAAAAGGACTAAAGGGAACGCTTGCCAGAACTAAGCAATTCGCAGCAAAACATGCCTGAGGGTCTCAGTAACGTGAACAAAAAGGCTTCATAAGATAAGAGTTCATTAACTTTAGTCCTGTGCTGTTCCGATTAAGTTTTTAAATACCAAAGCTGTTCCAACTTATACAGCTCTGTCCTCTTTTGGATGGTTTTTGCACAGGCTGAAGTTTTCTGTAGAGTTTTACTATGGAGTTAAAGGTAAAATATCTTTAACTGCATTCCAGGACAGAACGTAAAGACTCCACTGGCAGAATGCAGTATATGACACCTTCTACAAAGTCTCTCCACAGCCCTACCTTAAAAGACAAAACTAACATAAAAAACCCCAAACCAAACAACTCTTAAAAGCTATCTGTTTCAGTAACGCAATGGAAGGTACTTTTATACTGATACGGTCCAAACAGTATGCTTCAAACGTCATCTGCAAAGAAACTTTTTAGAAGATTATAGTTTTGTGCTGCACACTGAAACCTTAACCTGGACTGTAACTTGAAGATATTTAAAGAATTGTTCAAGACCGCTGCTCCTGTGCCGTCTGTGCAAGTTTCCAAGAAACGTAAATAAAATAATTACCACGGCAGGAACTGTGAAAAGCAAACAGGGCTTATGATTTTTCATTTTTAATAACTTGTTGCCAGCAACACACCAAAATAAACGTTTTCAGACATGAGAGACGAGTCGATCTCCTACGAGGCTCAGCACAAGAAACGAGAGGCTTTGACGCTGCCGCCTGCCGCCTGCCGCGGGGGGTGGTGGTGGTGGTGGGAGTTGTGTGACCGCTTCCCCGGCCCCCCCGAGGCTCACCCCGCCGCGGTGCTCCTGGCAAATGGCGGCTCCTCTCGACCGGAGCCCTGTGAGAAACCCTCGGGCCTCTCCGAAGTGGCATTTGGGATGGCAGGTGCAGAACGCATCTTCCCGAGGAACGCACGGTGGTGCTTCCTGGCACCGGCTTCCCGTAGCAAACGCACCGCGTCGGGCTGCTGGGTGTCGGTGCCGCGCCTGGTGAGGTGAAACCCGGCAGGGAAAGCTCGGACGAGTCTCCCTGGGAGCTCGTTTGCCAGCCACAGTGGCGTTACCGAGAGGTTCGAGGCGGCTCCTCGTTTTCTGTAAATGCAAAGCTGGGGGTAAGAAGGATCCACAGGATGGCAGCGGCTGCCCGAGCTGTTGGCGTGCCTGCTGCCTGCCCGGGAGGGTCTGGCACCTGCAGGTTGAGCTGTTGGTGGAGGAGCTTAAATGTATTACCGTGGTACCTGAACTCCTGGGCCACAGGGAGTTTTTGGGATGATCAGCACCTGTGTGAACAACGGCTCTTTTAAGAACAGAACCTGCGTAGCATACGAGAGACCTGATAGTAAAATTAAAGAGTTGAGATTTGCACTTAGTCACAAATTGATTCTTTTCCACATCAGCGTTCCCTGGTGGGATGTGCACAACCGGTAGCTCTGGTGACCTGTGGTTTTCCAGGGATTGCTTCCCTTAGGTAAATCGTAGACAATCCTTAGCGACCGACCTTGATTTTAATGGTGGACCATCGCTGTATAGTAAATCCAGAGGTACCACGCGTGGGCTTCCTTAGATGTAGTGTCTCTACCTGGAAGTCTGTATAGAGCTTGGCCACCTTCCCGGGACTTCTACAAACAGAATTTTGATCTATACTTCATGGATATAAATTTAAATACTGTTTTGTTTAATGTTACTGCTTAACATCACAAACTATTTGCAGGATAGTTCTAGTGAATTTAATACAACTGAATCTCTAGGTTTAGGGGCAAGACCAAGATTAGACAGGTAGAATTTCTCCCATGCAGGCCTTGATAACAGCAGCTTTTAAAAAACTTGGGGTTAAAATTGTTGATAATGTGTTTTTCTGGCCTCAAAATGGGTTAGTTTATAGATAACTGACTTTACAAGGGGGTGTATATATATTTGTAGGGGGGGGGGAATTATTTTCTGGTTCCTTTGGGTATTAGCATCCCCCCAAAAGAGGTACATGCCACTTTTCAGAACTTTTTTATTATTCTTTGCAAATTTGCGTGCAGACATTCTTTTTCCTTATTGAAAGTGAAACAAGATTCAAGTTTCTTACAAAGCGCATGCAAGATGCTTTTGTCAGCATATAAAGGAGAGGTGTGACTTCAGCAGTGTTTATTGTGCTTATTTATGTGGAGACTGCATCCTAAGGAAAAAAATGTGTAAGTGATATGGGTGTGTAATCTAAAGCTTTTTGCAAAGTTATTGGCTAGGAAATGATTCAAGGGTCCTAAAGCTGACTCTAATACTGCAAGCGTTTATACATGTTAATGACGGTGTTGCAGTAGTTACCCCTAAATTGGGAAGTCAGTTTGGTGGTCCTCAGGTCCTCTTATATTTCCAACTCTGAGCATGTGTGGGGACAAGGATGGAGCATGAAATGCAAAACTCATTGTGCTCTGAACTTGAAAATGTGTGCTCTGCCCTCAAGAAGCAAAACAACTAAAGTGACTTGAGAACTGGTAGTGGAAGATTTGATGTATTTTATGGAAATAAATTCAAATAGAGATTTCCAGATATTGCTGTTTTATTTAAAGGGCCATTTATGACTTTTCCAAATTGATGCTAAACTTCCTGTTATACCAAACTAGAATTTAGTTTCTTTCAGCTCTACATAAGCACAATGGTTGATAATGTGTTAGGAATTAATAGAAATGGGGTTTTTTTGTGGTTGTGTACAGAGAACAAATATGAGAGTTTCTCACTTTCTCACTGTTTGTGCGTTCTGAGCAACACTGACCAAAACATGTAGACACAGAAGCTGTGCCATCTCCAGCACTGTGGTTCTCTTTCAAATAAAGTTTATGTCCTAAAGGCAATATTTTTATTTTCTTTTTTAAATTTTTTTCCCCCTGCATATTATATATATAGAGGTCCTCTTGCTCTCCTTTTTTTTTTTTTTGGTCACTCAAGTCTGTAGGAGCATTAAAAGACTGAGTTATTATTCAGTATCAGTATTTTCAGTCCTCCACACGCCAACCTTCGGACTGTGCTATGGGGCCCCTTGTGCCCCAAGCGCTGGAAATCTCGGTGTGTGTGTGTGTGAGCTCAGGTATGGTTGCTACTGCAGTTTGGATCAAAGCCCTTGTTTGTTTGGTCTGAGCAGCTTGCAAGTCTTGACGTTTGGTCGTCTGAATCCAGCTCCTGGACCTGCAGTTCTCCTTGCAGCCACTGCAGGCTGGAGGGGAAAAGGGTTAAAGAGCCTTTCCTTAACCATAACACAAATGTGCAAGAAATACTTGGACAAGAACGGTATGTCAGGAGTGCCCTGGAGAAGAGGGACAGCTGTTTGTTTATCCTCCCCCAAAGTACAATCTATTTAAATATTGACATGATCTCTTGCTAAAAGGCTTTCTTTTCTTTCCTGGTTTATTATTAAGTTATGAATGGGGGAGAGGGAGAGATTTGTAATTGCTAATTCTTCCACTGTGTTGAAAAAGTGTATCCGTTGTTCTGTTTACTCTGATAAATACAGTAGTAGTGTTTTCTAACAGATTTAAATTGTTTGACTGAGGCTTGCACTTTGCTGTTTAATATTATTGCTTCTTCTCTGCATGTGTCATATATTTTATAATCTTAATAGGCTATCTGAACATACAGCAAAAATAGGAAATTTCAGACAATGCAGCCTTGAAGAGAAAGCAGTGGAAGACTAACATGTAGATCATTTCAGAAGATGAATAATAATACAATAATAAAATAAAGCACTTGTCAATGCAGGAATTATATATTCAGTATTTTATGAATAGTTCTGAATGGCCTCGAGGCCCTTCACTGATGAACACACACGTCTTCTAGCCTTGGTCACTCTCTGTGTATCTGGTCTGCGTAGACTCTCCTGCTAGGTCACTGCATCTAAAATTGTGTAATTCTTCAGAGCATATATTTGTACGTCTTAGTTTAAGAATCAGCAATATTTAATGACATTAAACATCTTGAATTACAGAGCTCTTGCAGGGATGGGAATAGTAAAAATACAGCTCCTTTGGCTCCAGAGGAGAGACTATGGCAAGTGGTTAGTATTACACGTAGGAAGTAATCTTTTTAAATCCATAGATCGGGGGAGACACTGCAGTTAACAGGGCTGCAGGCTTTGTTGGAGTGAGGCTTTGGCCATTAACCACCGTTGGAAATCAAAGCTATTCTACTTCAGTGTAAAATGAGTTTTACAAAGAATGTGTTTTGCACACGATACGAACCTTGAGACACAATTTGAAAATAATTTAGTATGAGAGTCTCTACTTAATTTGATAGTAGACAGTAAGTGTTTCATGTTGTCTTTTCACAGTCTTAATTTCATCAGACGTGCAACCGGTGTAGGAGAGCTGTTTGTTTTTGAAGGGTGGTCTGTATGTACCCTAGGTAGCCTTTCACCCCTTTCTGCTGAAGTGACTGACCCAACTCTGAGAGGCTTTGACAAGGTCGGTTCTTCATTTTCAGAAGTTTGCAGCCCTGTAATCGTTATTTTGAAAGTAATCCTTTCTCTCTTCTATCATTACCCACATAACCCCCTTGTCACAGGCTGTGACTGAAGTTGCAATTAAAAATTAAGCAGAGAATATATTTTAGTATATGTAGGCTCAAGTGCAGGGAAGCCTTTAAGTACGTGCCTGGTTTTAAGTGGCTGTACACGTGACGGCGTGATCCAAGTCTTAAATGCAGCTAGATTTCAGTTAGGTTTAGGGCTGAAGGGACTTTGGCGACTACAAATCCCAGGGAGCATTGCCGTGAGCAGGTTTGTGCAACCGGATTGGCATCCTGCAGGGGCCAATGGCTGGCAGGGAACTCCAGAAAATTCATGTGTGTCAGCTGCCAGTATTAAAAAGCACTGGAGAGAGCTGTAGACCTGAGTGGAAATTGCCCGTTTCCCCGAGATACTTTTAAGCCGTTGCTCGAGCTTTGCATTGACAGTCGGTTCGAACACCCGCCGTGCCGCGGCCAGGAGGAGCCCGCTGGCCGAGTGCAGATGGACGCGATTCTGGACTGCAGACCGGATGATTTGGAGGATTACTACAACTTGCTGGGATGCGACGAACTGTCTACGGTAAGAGCCCCCCCCGCCGGGGTCGTAACGCTTTGAACGTGCTTGTGTACCTGCAGCGGGGGGGGAAGTTGTTTACCCCTGCAGGCAGGACTGTTTGAAATGCATTGTGAACACTGTCTTACTACTTTTAGTATCTTCCTCGGTAAAGCTCAGTTTTCCGATGTTAAGATCCTACAATAAGGCTTATATTAAAAATATTTTATAAAACAGGACTGTGTTACAGATACAGCTGAAATAACGTTTTTTTTCACTAGTTAGGTTCAACGTGATGCAGTTTATTCATTAGTTTAGTTCAACATGTGATACGGGTACGATTCCTGAGCCAACTGCATAACCTTGACAACATTCAAATAGTATTTTGGAATATATTTTCATTTTTAAAACGTGAAAAATCTATATGCAACTAATACAGTGAATGTTCATAGCTGTAGGTCACTGATAATGCTATTGAGTTTCTCAGGTTTTATGCATATTAATTTTTTGGAAAAACTATTCATTGGCTGGGAGGAAAACCAGAAATATTCATCATAATGATTTTTAAATGCAAATTTTAATGACATTCAAATACTACTTCTACTAATTTGTTTTGGTAACAGATACATACTTTATAATGAGATCTGGCTAAGCAGTTGTTGAATGATTTGTAGCTAAAACACGTGTTCTTCTTCCTCATGGTGTCCATATAACATTTTCTGGATAATCTGGGTTAGTGGTATGCTGATACCTTTTATTCTAGCCTTCCGATTAACGGGAATTGTGTTTCAGTTTTGGAAAAGGAGTTTTGATTGCTGTAATGAAGGATGTATTCAGTGTGGATAAAAGCTGTTATTTTGCTCTGTAAATTTAATCAGATGCTCTCATCTGTCTTAGTGGCCAAATGCTGGGAAAATACCTCTGCCTTTTCTGTCACAAAGCATACTAGTAAACACCTTCTGTCTGTTACAGAAGGGAATGTAAAGCTTTTCCTGAGAGAACTCCTAAAAAGTCATCCCAGCAGAGGGCGGTGGGTGTTAAGTTTCTCTGCAGACTGGCTTCACAGGTGCTATTTCTCCTTTTCTACCTCACACTAATTCCTCAAGGGCTTGGCAATTAATTACTAGTTCAAGCACATGCGAGAATGTTTTTTCAAATTGCTTAAAAACGAATTAAAAAAAATTGGAATAAATGCTAATGGGTCCTGAAAAATTACCTGTCAAGTATTATTTGTTGAGAGAAGCAGTAGATATTCCTAGATTATTTTTGACATGGGAGTAGGAACTGAGATCACAAGTTGATGGAATACCACGATTGCCTTCGCTCAAGATAGGATGGTGCATGCTACTTCTAACATTTAACAGAAATTGGAAGCATTACAGGAGTTTTGCAATCACATGACTTTGCATATACAGTCAATTATTTGTAGCAGCAGAGGCTTCTTTAGGCGTATACAGCACATTCCCAGCTGCAGTACTTTCATCTAAGTTGCTGAATATTCTGGTCTTGATCTGACCTGGCTAAATTTAAGCACAAATAGTCTTGATTTCTACAGTTTTTATCTGTATTCAAGTAAACACCCATGTATATTCTTGTAGAATTGTGCTCATGGACACTTAGTTCATCTTCAGACTTGAGAGGAAGAGGGGAGATTTAATCTGTATCCTTCTTCCAAGAACAGGGTTATTCATAGTGGGTATTGGAAACCTTTTGTGGTAAAACATCTCACTGCGTATTTTACATAAATTTAATATATTCTGTATAAGCTTTCTATAAACTTTTCCTTCTACTGATTTTTTTATTTAAACTGAAGACTTCCATGCTATCCCTCTGTTACTGTACATAAATTTTAACTTTGAATTTCCCCTTTATATAACTGAGTTTTAGAGATGGTAGCTAGCTATGTATCAATAGTAAGCATTTTCAACAAGTTCTCTGTACAATGTATATATTTTTAAGTATCTTACTGACAGGAAATACACCACTTTATATCTGCCCCTCTGGAAGAGGTTACTGAGAAAAGCAAAAAATGTAGAATTCTTAAAATACCATTGTAGACAACATTTTTCCCAGTATATGACAACAAAATTTGGGCAGCGAGTTGAGTGAACTGTAATTTTATTCTAAAGAAAAAATGTTACGAGCCTTAATTTTAAAATCACTTAAATTATATATAGGTATCAGGGTTTGAAGGATGAGGAATTTATATAAACAGCCTTTCTAGCATAGGAAAGAATAGTAGCTGATTGATGTCTTAAGGCAAATTGTTATGAAAGCTTAAGCTGTACTGGAATGATATGAAGAAGTTTTGGCTTCTGAGTTGTAATAAGAAAGTTACTTTGAAAAATCTGAACATGTGAAAATCTGAGCTGATGCCCGCTCCAGTGGTTTCTTGTATTTTGATGACTGTTAGTATGTCTTTGTGGTTGTAATACTTCATGGTACTATAAACTGTGCAGGAACTTGTAATTAACTAATTAGGTAACACATGCCAGTATTCTAATACTGATTATAAAAATATTCTATTGCAAGCCAGTCTTTTTGCAGAGAAAATTAACTTGACAGGAAGAATGTGAACTGCTAGTTATCTAGCTTTGGGGTATCCAAGATGGAAAAGTCGTGTGGTACTGGCTAAAAATCCGATAGAGAGGATATGGAGAAAACCACTCAATCCCACAAATTCATCTTCAGCAATACAGAAAGCCTTTGCTTCCTGCAGTAAGACTTCATTAAAAGTTAAGAGTTGGTTAAACAAAGCGAAGAGCAACTGAAGGGATGCATTTTGCCTGCGTGGTCAAATGTGAGGAGGGGGGTTTGCACACATGACCTTTACACATTTAAAGCCACCTTGCCACATTGGCTGACTGAGCTTCACAAAAACGAGAATAAGGATGGGTGCACGTGAAATGAAATTAAATAGTGTCATTGACAGATAGTGGTTGTTACCTATTTTGCTTGTACAAATGAGTAGGAAAAACCCCTTTCAGCATTCTTTTCTGTTCCTCCCAACCCCTTTCAAAAAGCAAGTTTTCAAATCTCTTCTGTGTGTATGTATTTACTCACTTTAAGTCTCAACGTTCTGTTTAGGTTGAACAAATTGTTGCAGAATTTAAGATTAAAGCTCTTGAATGTCATCCTGACAAACATCCTGGAAACCCTAAAGCAGGTAAGTATTTTTCCCTGTTTAAAAATGATCTTTTTTTTTCTAATATTAACATGACTAAGATATTAAATTCAGCCTTAAAACTTAAGTAAATATCTCTTCTCCCAATATATTTGAATTGTCATTTATATTGAGCATATGGTCATTAAATAGCGAGCTTTAATATTCTTTTCTAACACTTGCACACTCCTTGGTGATAGAGCAGGAAGACACTCTGGGATTTTTTTTTTTTTCTAGGACTTTAAATTTTTTTGTTTTCTACGGTAGAAAATCTTTTAATCCAGAAATTATTTGTGGAGTGTATCCCTTTCTAGACCTATGAAGTTGGCCTGCTTCCACGGTCAGTGGCATTCAAGTGCCATACTTGCGTCAACTAGTTAATTTGCTTCCATGAACAAGCCCATCAGGAACACATTAAACGTACTTTAGCTTCTTTTAATGTAATTTAATGACTGGAAATAAAGAGAAGCCAGCACGGCATAAGTAACCATCTGTTTGCAGAAGAGCAGCTAACATTTGTGTTTATGACAGCATGGAGTTCATACCTGTGACGACTAAGCAGCACCTGAGTTATCTGGAGACAGTCTTACCCATTCATAACCATGAGTTAGATCCAACCAGTGGTCACTGATGTCTGAATAGTTTATATTCTTAGAATCAAGGTTGTTCTGATTATAATTATGGTCCCCATCAAAACTTTGTTGTAGAATAATTAAATATGCTTCTCATTTTGATTAATGCACAAAACTTTTCCTTTGGATTCTTCCTATCAGTTTAACCCTAAACTGAAGAGCACAAGCAGAAACTGAACGCTGAGTTATCTACTTGTGTGAGTTTGACCTCATCCACACTGAGATAGCAGAGCAGGGAATACAGCAGATGTTACGTGAGACTCACACTCCATCACCTCAGAGCTCTCAGCAGAGCTTGGCTTGCCTCCTTGTTGGGCCATCCTAGCCTAGAATTGGACACTTGACAAGGAGGAGGCTTTAAAAGGTGAAATATGTGGGTTTTTTCACTTTGAAATTCCCTGCAATCTGGTGTTTGAGAGACAATCTACCATCTATTAACAATGACCTGTTCACTAATACTTAATTTATATTAAATGATAGTACAAGTACCAGTGAAAACAGGGGAATGAACTTTGCAGAAAATTCTGGCATTTACAGCAGGGAAACAAGAGACTATCCCAGTGCTGTCCTGTTCTGTCTGTACAGAACGTGTACAGTCCATCACCCACCCCCAAATAATTGAAACTGAGTAAACCAAAAAGGGAAGCCAAGTGCCAAATGTTGGAGCAGTTTTGTCAAGAAGAAATATTTTATGCTCCTTTTACCTGAACATGCTGTATTTACTTTAAATACCTTTTAACAGTAGTGGTGGAAGTTTTTGTGTTTTTTGTTTTTTGTTTTTTTTTAATTTAATCAGCTTAAAGCTCAATAAAGAGTAATTAAAATAGATGTTTTATTTGTTGAAAACTAGTAACACTATAAAAAGGAAATGGAATAGAACTACCCCCTCAACTTGTTTGATTTACAGTTATCAGTTCTGATTAGTGTTTGGGCTTAGTGTATTTCAAGAGAAATCTCTCTAATTTGTAAACTGGAATAAATGAATAATAATACTACTAGATCACTGTAACATAGGTGACTCATAGATAAAATCTAAATCTTTATAACCCTTCTACAAATAGTAACATGCAGCTGCATCCTTAGTAACCATTTAATGAAAAATTACCCTGTAGGGAAAAACAGGAGCTGTCATTCATGCAGTCTGATATTCAAGACAACATTTTAGCATGTAGAAAACATACCTAATAAAATGCACAAGTTAATTAATTTGAACTATATTTAGACTCCTTGCTTGCAAATTTTTGCCTTCCCCCCCCTCCTGCTGATGTTTTCTTGATGTTGTGCTTTGCTCTGACTTCCATGTGTGTTCCTTCTAAGCGTTAATCTCATTTCAATTTTCCCTTTTTAAGGTTGTCTGCAGGGGGCGACTTGTGCCTTTTGCCTGCCGTACTCTAACATTTCTCTGAAATTTAGGCGATTTTGAAGCCGGTAGACAGATGAGCATTTTTATCCCTCCTTTGAAAGGGTATCACATGGTCCACCAAAGGTGCTGTGATCCTGAAGCCAGCTAAAGCTGTGCAGAGCTGCAAAGCAGAACAACCACGTTCCTTTGTCACTTAATTCTCCTTCTGTCTCCTCGACTCTGCTCCAAGCCATTGTTGGCAGCTCCCCTTTCACATCTGAATGAATTTCTTTGAAAACAAGTATTGGCTTTAGTATCTTTTTGGTTTGTGTTTTAGTGGAGAATTTCCAGAAGCTGCAGCAAGCCAAGGAGGTTCTTACTAATGAAGAGAGTCGAGCACGTTACGATTACTGGCGACGAAGCAAAGTTACCATTCCGTTCCAGCAATGGGAGGCCCTGAGCAGTTCTGTGAAAATGGTTGGTGGTGTCTAAGTTTGGGCCATCAGGAGGAGGGGGAGGTAGGGCTGGTAAGGTGAAAGTGTTGCAGCGATTGAGGGGATCAGTTACGACAGTTCTGCAGGGGATGGGAACAGTGCAGAGGGATTCCTGCACTAAGGATGTTAAGGAAATTCAGGAAAAATTGAAGGGCTAGAGAAGCCCATTCACAGAAGGGTTTTAGGCTGGTAGTTTTAGAGTGAATTTATCATGCTTTTATGTGTATTGTATGAAGTTGAACTATCTTAAAGGCTATTTTCAGATGCTTCAGCACACTTTGCTTTTGTAGGAACCTTTTATTTATTTTCAGAGTTAGATTAAAGCTCAGACCTTTGTATAATATATTCTCCTTTTGGTATATTACTTATCAGATAGGTTTTCATGCTATCTGATTAAATAAAGAGCTCATAGAGAAACCTAGAAGGTAGTTTCTTTGGAACCCTGGGCTTCACACAGCCTCTTTGGAGCGGCCCTGCTAGGTGAGTGGGGTGATTTTTGGCAGACGTTCTGAGGATTGTTACCCTTGCTAGTGACATAATTTGGTAGAATGTTCTAGCAGATCCTAATTCCATAATGTTTTGGGGTTTTTTTCTGCCTTACTAGGGTAAATGATAGTTAAAAGTCTGCATGCTGATATGGCAGGTGAATAAATGTTTCCCTTGCCAATTTTGCTCACCTCAGCTCTGCTCAGGAGAAAATTTTGAGAGCCTCTTCAACCAGCATTATGCCTGAGCTTAAATGTTTGCTGGAAGTATCCCGTCAAGCTTGGTTCAGTTCCAAACAGAAGTAATTCCACAGACTTTAGTAGTAAATCTTTCCAAATAGTTTTGCTTTCAAAGGGCACCTTGAAGTCAAAGACACCTTTGAAAATGGACATTTTCTAAGTCACTCAAGCCCTCTTAAAAAAAGTATCTGAGGTTGTGACAGACGAAATTGGACAAAAGATGCTTAGGATTATTTGAGGCACTTGTACGTTTTGTTCTTCATCCTGACCTGACATAAGCTGCCCTTTCAAATGCTCTGCAATATAACCTTGCTTTCCCCCATCCCATTGTCCTGCAATCTTCTCTCTAATATGTGCTTTGTTTAACCATTTATTTCACCGATATAAGAAAGAAAAGTCCATTAAAAATCTTTTAAAGCATAGGAATTAATTGGGGTTTTTTTTGTGATTTTTGCATTTCTTTAGTCAATGCACTGGGCTGTCCAAAGTAAGAAGGACCAAATGCTGGAAGCTCCCGACTTGAATAATAGCAACAACAAAACTAATGAGATTTGGACCCAACAGACTGAAAACAATGAAGACGGGTTGTCAGAAGGGAGCAGGGAGCAAGAAGATGTTGCAATTCCTGATGTGAAACCACAGTCTTCAAAGAGTCCAGACTCCCCAAGTAAGTGAAACCAGCAGTTACAGAAAATTGCAGTATCTAGGGATTGGCGTGAAATGGAGGCTTTTAGTCATGAGAAATTCTTCTCCAGAATAATATGTTTAACGGGTAGGTCTTTTAATGTGGTTTTGGGTTGGGGTTTTGTTTTGGGTTTTATGTTGTTTATTATTTATTTGATTTTTGAAGCTTTCAGACCTTTCTTCCTCCCTACTCCCTGTTTACTTGCTTGTTTGCTAGTAAAACTGAAAACTGGAGAAAAAGAAAAAAAAAATTCTTAAACCAAAATGGAAAGTTCTATTTTACTGCTCTATAAAAAAAGCAAAGGCAATTATTTTAGGTTATTTTTGAAAAAAACAGCTTTAAAAACATTTAAATAAAATATTTAGGTCTTATATTCTCTTTTATTTAATCCAGCATTCAGTACTTCTGCACAGTTTGCATCTGATCAGTTAATGAGGACTAAAAATTGAGACTTGAAGGCTTCTTTTGTATTTTAAAAGGGTTTTTGTTTTTTTTTTTTTTAAATGTACATGCAGCAGAATAAATGTGTATTTCAAAAGCTGTCATTTGGCCAGCTCCTGTCTGTTGCTTAGGTTAGTATGCCTGAATCAAAGTTTACTTACCACAACATCCACCCGCTGTTCTGCTTGGTCCTTCAGGATTTTCATCATTTTAGGCTTATGGTTCCAGAAAATAAAGTCCTGTCATTTCTTCCCAGTTTGATCAAACAGGAAATTAAGTTGAACTGTGAGGGTAGCAAAACCTAATTTAATCCCAAACATTTGTGGAATGAAGAAAATAGATAAGAAAATTCTACAAACAAATGTATTTAAAATGTATTTAAAAACCACACTCTACAACATGATACTATATGCTGGGTTTTGGTAATTAATTCATTACTGTATCCTTTGTAGAACAGGAATATTTCACAGTAAAGAAAACATCATCTCGTTCCTTGTAATGGTGAGCTTTCTTTGCAGGCATCTTCTGTCTCATATGTTTTTTCTGGTTTAATTTCATTTCCTTAGATTTGAATGGAAAAAATATGAAGCCAATCAAATTTCTACTGAATTTATCCAGTGGGCATCTATTTATATTAATAAATTAATATTAGAATATATTTATTTGACAGGGCCTGTATGCACTTCAGTGTTCAGACTTGATGTTAGGATGTTGATAATGCTTTTGGTTTGGTCCAGGAAAATTTTTATTATAATGGATTCCACTTTTAAGCTGGGGTATTTTCAGTTCCTGTCTGCTGATCTGTAGGAATTATGGACTACAGCTCCACGTAGCTATTTCAGCCTGAAGAAGAGATTTTAACACTAAGTCTGGTAACCAGTTTCAGCTTCTTGATACAGGAAGATCCCATTTTAGTAATAACAGCCCATAGATCATAAAAACATAGCGCAGGGTCTGAACAACTCCGTTAGTCCCTTGTATGTGGAAAGGACCATCTGTACCTTCCCTCCCCACTGCCGCCTTCCACGTACTTGGAGATTTATCATGTCACCCTCTATCTCTTCTTCTTTACTTTAAGCAAATGCATTTGTTCAGTTTTTCTTTGTCAATCCTCTTTTCTGGACTGTTGTTGTTCTTGCTGTACTCCTTTGTACTCTTCCCAGCTGATGAATATCTTGTAATTTGGTGGTTGCTTGAGTTCTTGTTCAAGCAGTGCCAAGAATACAGAGGTTGTCCCTGCTAGTCAAGAGCACTGGAAGTCACCAATTTTTTTTTACTTTTTTGAGGGAAGATTATCAAGTGTTATTTCACACAACTTAGTTTTATACATGTTTATAAAAATTTACTTCTCTTTCTCTTTTTTTACTCAGGATTTTCAGAGGCAAATTACTGGCACTTGCGTTTCCGCTGGTCAGGGGATGCTCCATCAGAGCTTCTGAGGAAATTCAGAAACTATGAGATCTAAAAGGCAAAATGTGCAAGAGCATGAGATCATCTGTTCAACAGTTCAGTATTTTTTTTTTTTTTGGTCAGCAGTTATAAGTTATTTGTATTTGGTATTCATTCGTTGTGATGTGAACGTTTGAATAAATGTCTTAATACTGATTTAACACACATGCTATGAGCATTACAGATGGAGGTGGTTTTGTTTAATAAGCAAACTTTAATAAGCCAAGCCCTTTTCAGTATTAACATAAAGTGATACCGTGAAGTTACCTAACATATATTGTTTCTTGTATTCTTAAATATTGTGTGGTGAATAATATTTTTCTCAATACAGTGATCTTATAGAGAATGTACTCTCAGTAGAACCAAAAGTCAATGTTAGACTCCAGCATATCATCCTGTTCAGTGATGGTCTTCCCAAAGCTGTATGACAATGAACTTTAAGCAAAACTGTGCTTATTTCTGAACTACCTACTCCGGTTCATTTCTCCATTGCATTGTGCTTACTGCAGTGATTTATAATGCATTCATGCAGGATACTATTACAAACTTAACTTGTTGGAGAATTGTGATCTTGGAGAATTGTGATCTTAAGATATAGATGAAGTAAGAACCCTCTTATTACCCAAGAAGGTCAGTGTCGTAGGTCAAGCACTCTTAAAAATCACTTGCGCTCTTTCTTAACAAGTACGTTTTTTTTGCACCAGCTATTTATTTCAGAAGGCAGTTCCAGAACTTCACTTCTCCAGTTAGCAACTTTCTTCTTAAGATTTATTGGTGGGCAACTGATATCCCCTGTATGTGTGCCAGCATTGTCCTGTGGCTTAAGAGTAATTTCCCACCCTGCTCTGGCCTGGTAGACGGGGTCTTATCAGGGTTTTGTATGGTGAGAAATGAAGAATCAGGCCAGTCAGCATTAATGTGTACAGAATCTCACATGAAAGGTTTTTGATATTTTGGGCAACTTTTCAAAGTCTACATTGTGTTTATTTTGTATTTGCTTTCTTCTTTGTAAACCTGGCTAATATGCCAGGTATTGTCATTGTGGTTTTGTGCAGACAAGTAATTCCATCAGCAACAAATAAAACTGCATGCATACAGAAAGGGGTTGTGTTCATTTTTAAAAATTTAAATCCTTCTGTCCATCATGGAGATCCATTCTGAATTTCTTGTTATTTGTCCCCTCAGTTGGTCTTAAGCTTAGGGGAGTCCAGTTATCAATCTTGGGCATCTTTGTGGAAAGTCTAATCTGAAAACTAAAGTCTTCTCCCAACATGGAAACAATATTATGGTATCTGTCTCTCCCTGGAGTGACAGGGGTGTGATGTGCTGTCTGACCTACTGTGCTTCTCCTGTTTGGTGCCTATTTGTTATAAACTGTAACACAAGTGCCTGCCAATGGAACCCTGATAATATGTGTATCTTATTAATCTCATTAGTATATTTATTCTAGTGTCAGTTTTCTGGGGCTGATACCAGTGTTAATGCTGTTTGTGTTTGTACCAGTTTATATAAAAGCTCAGAGTACTGGTGTTCTGCTGATACAGCTACATTGATCCTAGATTTGATGGCATCAGTAGCAATAGCTATTTTTATAGCACGTCATCCAGCTTATCAGAAATACATATTTTTTTTTTAATTCTACATGCTTTTCCCTTGTATATTTTATGACTAAAAACATTTTAGAGATTAATAATTCTCTATATCTGATAAATGTAATTGCAAATACTCTTCTAGTGCATATACTGCTTTTCTTCATATAAAGGTAATTTGCTCAAGAAAGACTTTCAAACCGTTCTATAGGGAGGGACTGTAAAGCACTTCAAACAGCCCTTAAGAGAAGAAACCCTAGTTCATGTGAAGGATACAAATTAATTTTTCTCTCTTTAACAAAAAGAGATGGAAATGCAGCCAGCTGTAGTGCTTTGAATCAGATGGCAGCCCAGATTCTCCTCTCCCTGTTTAACTTGCTTGTAAAGGTAAAAGGGGGTAGTTGGATGGATGATGTAGCACCTAAGCAGCTGGTTTCCCTTGAGAAGTGAGAATACAACAGACTTTGAACAGCAAACTCATTTTTCATGTCATTAAAACCGGTGTCATTATTAGCCAATTATTACATGGTTTGTTCTGGCAAAGCACCTTTAGCTATTTGTTCTGGAAGAACATTTGCAGATATTTGGAAGACTCAGCCCAGCAAAAGCTGATGGCAAAACTTGCATTTTGCAACACAGCTGCTAGAGATCAGTCCTGTAAAATTGTATTTGCCCTAGTGAAGGGCATGGATTATTAACTGGTGTTCTAGTACACTGATACAGCCTCTTTTCCTATATGTATATATTTATCTTGAAATGGTCTAATTTTCTGTATTTCGCAAATAGAGTTGCGTTAACCCATTCTTAGCAGAGCAAACCCAGCAGTACTGAAAAGCAAGAGGAAGCTGAGCAGCCTGGTTTGCTTTTGGGACAGCATCACTGGGACCTGACCTGTTGGCCAGTAAGAGCACTTAACTGGAGTAAGTGGGCAGCCCAGTTCTCCCTCATGTTAGAAAGGAAAGAAATAAGCACCTGACAAATTACTCAGTGTTAGATCATTCAGGGCCCACCCCCCAAGCATAAATTGCTTATCTTTTTTTTTTTTTTTCTTTTAATATATAGTATTTTTACACCTTTTTTTTGCTAGTTGCATGAAAAGATCCAGCAAATGTCCCATGTGACTATCAACAGTGATGTGCCTTGGCCTCTGCATTGGTAAGAACACAAAAAAATTAACATGCTTAAAAATTAATTGGAGCAGGGGTTGTAGGGTAAATCTCAAGCTCTGTTCATAGGTGTGATTAAGAGGCAACAGAGTCAGCTGTACCTGTTTTTTCAGCAGCCAACAGAGTGCTTAACTTTCTTTGCAAAGTAGACAGAGCTGCAAAAGGACAGTTGTGGGGGTGGAGAACAACTGCAACAAACCCAAATACTATATATTGGAATTAGGGTCTGTGAACCTCAAGCTGGGGGAGAGGGTGGCTACCTGCAAAGGATGGTAAGGTCTCATTTTCTCCTTTAGCACTTGCTGTGAGTCGTTCAGGGAGGTAACAAAGGGTCCTGAACCTTTTGGGTATCCAAGGGGTCTGAGTCGGTGTGTGCTTCCACTACACAGGGACTGAGCATTACCAGGCTCGAGTGGTTTGTTAGCTACCACTCTAAATGGCTTAGCTTAGCTTGCTATGAAAACAAACAGACCTGTGAAGTGAGCCCAGATCCTCTAGAGTCTACTCAAAAGGAACGATTAAACTTGACCATAACTGGGCTGATGAGATGTAAACTGGAAGTTTCGAGGTAGTAGATGGGGTTGCAGGTAGATGATGATGATAAAATACAGAGAATAGGGCACGTTGTTTAATAGTGTGTTTTTAGGTCTCTGAAACTGTATCAACCCGTTTTGCAGTATCTGGAATTAAGCAATTCTTTAGCCAGCTGTTTAGAATGAAGCTGAACAGCTTTGGGGGGGGTTTGTGTGTCTGAATTATATAAAATTAATATATCTTTAATTACTGCTGTCATGCTTATTCTTGTGCAAGTTCTGAATATATAAGATAGAGAATGTTCTAGTACTTCACAGACTTTTTGTTTTGCAAGTATTTGTCAAGTTGTTTTGCCAACATTTCCCAAGTGGCAATGTAAGAGTTAAGGTTTTGATGATGATTAAAGGTAGCATATGCCTTAAAAATCTCAGGCTGAGTAATGCTGAATGATAGGTAAGGTTGTTTCCTGAATGCTTGTTTTTGTCTTTGAATGAGAGAAGGGGAAAAAAAAAAAAAAAGAAAAAAAAAAAAAGCAAAAGGCAGTTTATATGTTCTGTAATAGAAGCAAGTATGCTGATGATTAAAAGAGATACTGGGTAGCTTTAATTTCCTGAGCACGAACACTGCTATCTTACACTTTCATATCCTGCAGTGAGAGATGAGACTGCTGGGAAGGTAAGCAGTGAAGCTGTTGTAAAGCTGATGAAATTACACAGCCAAAGATAAAGCAACTCAGTAAGATGTCAGCCTCTGGCACTGTCAGATGGGGTGATATTTATCAGTTAGTTTACGCTGGGTATTTTTATTGCAGCCCAGTGTACATCTCATCCTGCTGTCATCAGATTTGCCAGGCCTCCCCCCGATGGTGGGCACTGCCTGTGTTTGTTCTTTCACCTTTGCTATATTAGTCTCTTCTCCCTGCCATGGTAATGAAGATGAGACTTCATGTGCTCTGTTTGTCCCAGCTTTGAAAGGCTTGTGTCTGAGTCATTACAGCGGTGCACAATATAGACCGGGAACATTTACATCTTTTAGGTCCCTGATGCATATCATAACCTGTCACAGGTGATGGATCCTGAAGAAAATGAATTTCCTATCCTCTCTCTTCCATCTTCACAGTGGTTTGCTCTTTGCTCCCTTCTCCTAGTGGGGCAGTAAGGGAGAGGGGTTACTTCTATAAAATGAAATTTGCTGCCAATGTTCAGAAGGTTTCTGGTCTTGATGTGCGATGTGCTTCTCAGTGCTTTAGATAAAATGATTTGCTTGCTGCTTTGTCAAAACTGCTTCTCCAAAATTATCGCAGGACTCTTGGCACTGCAGGCAGATGGCTTTTTTAAGGAGATGGGGTCTGGACTCCAGCACCAGATTCATTACTGTCTTACTCTTTCTCACTCCTAGAGCTGAGGTTTAAAAAGGGAAGCAGGTCAGAACAGTAGCACTTTAACTCTTTGCTATAAAATGGAGATGAAAAGTGATACGAGTCAAGAGGAGAGCACTGAATCCAGAACATGAGTGCTGCTGATGCGTATATAGCTTTAGTAGGCTGTTTGGCAGTCCTTACTTTCTTCTGTAATTACAAAAAAATAACTGCAATTAAAACCATATGGTTCTTCCCCTTTAGTGCCTTGATGGGAACATTTTCATAAATCTGAAACACATGGGTCGGGGCAATCCCCAGCACAAATCCAGGCTGGGTGAGCAGTGGGTGGGGGGCAGCCCCAAGGAGAAGGACTTGGGGGTGTTGGTGGATGGAAAACTGACTGTGAGCCAGCAATGTGTGCTCACAGCCCAGAGACCCAACGGTGTGCTGGGCTGCACCCAGAGCAGGGTGGGCAGCAGGGCGAGGGGGGGATTCTCCCCCTCTGCTCCGCTCTGTGAGACCCCCCTGCAGGGCTGGGTCCAGCTCTGGGGCACCAACAGCAGAAGGACACGGACCTGCTCGAGCGGGGCCAGAGGAGGCCATGAAGATGCTCAGGGGCTGGAGCCCCCCCTGTGAGGACAGGCTGGGAGAGTTGGGGGGTTCAGCTGGAGAAGAGAAGGCTGCGGGGAGACCTTAGAGCGGCCCCCAGGGCTGAAAGGGGCTGCAGGAAAGGTGGGGAGGGACTCTGGATCAGGGGGTGTAGGGATAGGATGAAGGGTAACAATTTTAAACTGAAAGAGAGTAGATTTAGATTAGATATGAGGAAGAAATTCTTCCCTGTGAGGGTGCTGAGGCCCTGGCACAGGTTGCCCAGAGAAGCTGTGGCTGCCCCCTCCCTGGCAGGGCTCAAGGCCAGGTTGGACGGGGCTTTGGGCAACCGGGGCTGGTGGAAGGTGGCCCTGACCGTGGCAGAGGGGCTGAACTAGATGATCTTTAGTGTCCCTTCCAATCCAAACCGTTCTATGAAATCTTGTTGAAGGGTGAGCATGGGGGAAACAACTTGGGTGTTTGTTGCAGCTCTTTTTAACTGCAAATTTTAGGGAAAATCAGTTTCAAGGAGAAATTGTTCACCAAATGCAAAGACTTCCTTAGAGATTTTTGTTATTTTGCTGACAGACTGTTACCTTATTTTTCAATATAAAATTTAAAATAACCACATCTTTTCCTGTTGGTCATTTGACATATAAATCTTGAGCAAGGTCCCAGTGAAAGGGACATACTGAAGTTGCAAACTTCCTAATAAATATTTATTGGGTTGATGTTTTGTATTAGATCTATTAAAGCAATGAAACATGTCTTTTGGAAATAAGACACTTAAAGTGGTCAGTTAAAAAAAACCTGACAACGTCTTCAGTGATGCAGTGGAAAAGAAGGACTTAGTGCAAAGCTTCC